GCAGGAATGAGTGGCTAATCTACAGGGGATGAACGCCATTTCTGCACTGGAGAAACACAGTAGAACACCAGCTATTAGAAAGGCCTCAACTGGAAAAGTTGCTCCTATTTACATTGGTAAGAAATATAGGAAACTGTCTACCAAGCTTAAGTTCTCATCTGGTAATAGGCACAGAACCTGGCTAAGAAATTATTTTTCTTGAAAAACCCAATGATTTGTAGTGGGATGCTGTCTTCATAAATGTACTTTTATTATTGTGGGGTTTTCTTCCAAACATGCAATAGAAGAGTGAATGGTAAACATGTATGAGTAGTGCTCCTCATTTCCCTTTGGGCCCCCAATCAGGAAATGTTGAAAATCAGTGTTGGTATTGCTGGAGATTAATGGTTGCTGCTCAGAAAGTGTACAGGGAATATATTCCTGCCAGGACAAATACACAGGCCGTCGGACAAAAATCTGTGAACCACAGATAGGATTATAACATCATTGTAAAGATCTACACTGCCTATGTTGCTCTGTAATTAATAATATTCACATGCTGGTTTGACTAAAATCACTGTAACAATGAGGCAAATTAATGCCATGCCTTCATGGTCCAATTTATTCTACTGATGTTTGAAGTGTTCTTTTCGAATCAGTTTTGCCCGTATTTAAAAATTAGATTTTTTTTTTCCAGGTGTAGGAAGAAATCCTTCATGGAATTTTTGCCCCTATATATTCAATATGTGTTTAAATACCATGTAATCACTGGATTTTTTTATACGAGCAGTGAGATCTCACAAGAGAAAAGATACTCCACTGAGCTATAAGGCCTTTAAAATCAATCCCTGTCATCAGTTCATTTGTTTCCCACTCTTCCTCAGAGAGGTTACTTAAGAGCTCTCCTGCCATGTATTTGGGATACATTTTCATCACCACAGCTTCTGTATACTTTTTCTCCCCTTTTGTTTTCTTACAAAATAAGGCCTAGGATAGAGTGACCTCAGGCGTTTATGAAAACCTTTCCTTCTCTGTGTTCAGTAAGTGCACAGGGTCCAGCCAGGATATCTGACGACAGGCAGAACTGAGTCCAACTTGGCCATAGAAGCTAAAGCACAGGCAAGCTACCTGAAGTCATTATATATTTTAAAAAAATTTTAAAAAAAGGAAGAAGACATTAACGTCACTGCTAGGGCATGTCTCCACGGTTTACTGGCATGTTCACCTTCAAAATCAAGAGCTGGGAGGTCAAGGCCCAAAGTAAGGACTCAAAATTGATACCAACAGCAACATGGCATAGGTCTATGTTTGCTATGTTGTTAGATTATGTGAATAGTGAACTAAGTACATGAAGCATATGTCTACATTACCAGTTTACCCTGCTAAGCCCATGTGTCATGACCAGATTACTTCCCATGGCTGAGCTCACCATTTGGGGTTTACAAGGCAGTGTCACTCTGGTCTATCTTTGGTAGTGCAGGCATAAGATCCTTCCTGCTCACGGCTGCTGAGTAAACAGTCATGGTATTTTATCCCTTTTTTTTGGTCAAAAAATATTGGATCTCCTTACAGTACAGCCTGCTGTTATTCGCAAAACAAAATCTTCTTACATACACCTATATAATGTTTGCTTTGCCAGTATTGAAATGGCTTCAAAATAAACCCACAGTCTGATTCGTCAGTCCAACAAGATGCCAGCCAGCCACCAGAGATGTACAAACAGATCTGAAAATGAAAAGCCACGAAATGACTCAGTGCATTAGGTCACTGTGACAGCCAGGAGGTAATACCAGAGTATTTACTTTGGCTGGAGTCTTTCTTGGTTCATCTTTGTTGTTTGCAGCATCAAAGCCAGGCTCTCATCTCAAGCCAAAGTGCCATAGCTCGCCCACTTCACTAACAGTTCAACACAGGTACCAGGTAAATATCTAACTAAAATGAGAGTTTTTGAAATGAAATTAAAAACTTCTATGGATTAAAAAGAATAGTGGTTCTCTTTCCTGCCTGGCAGTAAGGAGCAGAAGAACAGACACACTCTACTGCTTCCGGCGTGGTTGTCCTTACAATCCTCCCATGATGTCGGGAAGCTTTAGCAGTACCTAACATCTCTGTGGGGTCTGCATGTATGAGTATCCCTAAAATTATTGTCCAGGACAATGGGAGTATCATCTTGGTGAGGATTTTCAGCCCATATTATGGTGCAGGTGGCAGCTATCCCCACCATCCCCACAGGAATAATGAGAACATGGACAGTCCTTTAAAGGTTGTGTAACTCCCCCACAAAGTAAAAAACTATGATGAAGAGCCACATTTCCATGTATGGAACAGGAGAATTACTCACAGCTAAGAACAAAGACCACATTTATTGACACCCAGGAAACACTAGCAACTTTCTTTGTCTTGTCTTTCCAGGTCACAAAGGTGACTTCAGGGTAAATTTTCCTGAACAACACGAGCATGATACATTTCTCATGAGGTTTGGCTCTATTCACCACCAAAGCTGCATGCTAGCTCCATCTTTTAGGAAATTACATACACAAGGTTTTGTACGAAGCAAAATGAAGCACTGTAAAAATGGGTACTGTTCTGTAATGATAAAAGTTTTTTCCTTTGCAAAATTGCATTCAACAGATTTACTTGCTTTTTTTCTGCAGTATTTCACGGCAAACTGACCATTCTCTGTCTTTGTGACAAAATTATTTAGTTTGAATGCAAATTTCCTGAAACTTGAAAGTACTTTCTGACAAAAAGAAAGTGAGTCTCATATAGGAAGAGTGATACTTAATGATATTTAATGAATTGAAATCTCAGAGTTGTGGTAATGATGCAACTCAGGTGATATACCAAAAAAATTAACAAAACAATTGCTTCTTGTAATCAGATAAGATGGTACAAGTCCAAAAGTAAAGGAAAAATGTCATGTACATAGGTTTCAGGGAAAAAGTAAAGCCTGACATGAAATGCTAAATAATGATAGTTAACTAGAATAAAAGGATCAAGACAAAATGTTTTCATACAGGTTGGGCAGGTTTTTTCTGCTTGTCCATAGGTTCAGTGAAAAATATCACTACAGTGCAAACAAAACATATAAATTTAGCAAGCAGTCCTACCACAATAGGGGATAAGTTCTGAAAAGTCAGAAGTCTTCATATTAACTTTTTGAAATACCATGTTTCAGCTCTTTATTTTGAAATCCCTTGAAGGCTAACAGTCCTGAGAGTTCAGTGATTTATTACCGTCAAAGAGAATCCTCAAAACTGGATGGTCATTTGGGGGATGAGTTAAGCACAAAATCAGGCTGCCTGCCATCCAGGACTTACTACTAGGCTGAATAAACATGCAGACCAGGACAACTGAGAAAACTTTCAAGCAAGCACTACTCCTAGAAATAAAAGTAATGGGTCTTTGCAAGGCAGGGAATGTGTAGAGTGCTGGAGGCCAGGAGGGACAGGCAGAGCTTTGGCTGAGCCCTGAGCAACATCTGAATATGCAGAAGGTCCAGGGGACATCTTAAGTCCTTTTTCTGTATTACTGACTTGCAGATTTGTCTCTTGAATATTTTCATTAGTCGTTGTAATTACACTCACTATATTTGCTTGTCTTCCCACCCTTCCTCCAAACTGATTTCTCTGTGGCTGTTTTCTGCCTCTTTTTAAGCGCTCAAGACCTCCCTGCAGATCTCCCTTTCTTTGTTAGTTCTGACAGGTGTTTATAATTTCTTTTGCTTTAGTAGCTGCAGATAGAGATGGTAAATAAAGCAGTACTTAAAACTATGACTATACTGTTAAACACCAACTACCACTGCTGTCTCCTTATGGTCCTTTGCCTTAAATCTGCATGTCTCTGTCAGTTGAGCCCTGTGGTTTTTGGGCAACCTAAAAATAAATAGGTATATAGAAAATATAGTTTAAAAGATGTTTAATTTACCTGCAGTTCTCCTTCCATTATACTGAGGAGTTTTATCAAGTCCTCTTTAGAAAGCTCTATGGACTTCTTGTTCTTTCGTTCAGTGGGTCCAGGTGATTTTGAGTGCCTTTTGACAGTTGCTGAAACCATGACCTCATCTTCCTTCCGATGAGGTTTGTTCTTTTTCTTGGCATCCTCCTGAAGTTTTTCATTCTCTGCATGGCTGATGACAGGCTTGGAACTGGAGAAGTGCCCATTAGACGAGCTTTCTCCACCTTGGTTTCGGGATCTCATCCCTACCTAGAAAGAAACAAACATAAAGATGCATTTATAAACAGAATTACTTACAAAAACCACAGTGGAAATACTGCCTTCTGGAAGAACAAGAGTCTTCTAAAAACTGAGAAATACTGTCGTGCCCAAAAGATAGTGGTAGAAAGCTCAACCATTTCAACAACTCTGTGTGTGGCAGGCAGTGAATCCAGGGCACTAATTATAAATTTAACAGAGTCCTAAAGTAAGGGTAACCATCTTTTTCAGCACGCCAAGATGCTGATATGAGTTTTAAATGTGTGGAACTTAAAAGTGATGCAGGAAAATGATAAAGAACATTTTCCAGTGTTCCTTTTCTTTCAGTCAACATTTTGATCATTCACAATTCATCACTACAAAACAAAGCAGGCTGTTAAGTAGATCTTATTTTAACACGAGGTTCACTTGAGAGACAGGAATGCAATTAAATTTTGGAAAATCATGTTCCATAGAGAAATGAGAGTGGAGTGACCATGCATGACAAAGGTCACTCTATAATTTCCCTGAGTGATACAATGGTTTTATTCCAGATAACCAAGAAAAATGGGGAATGCAGACTAAATCAAGTGGTAAACGCCATCTTAAGCTAAACACTGCATGGCATTATTAGACAGTAAGTGCCATGAAGGAAAGTTGAAAAGAAGTTTGAAAAAAGAGCACAGAGGACATGATACCACTAAGAGGTAAATGGGCAAGATCAGTTCAGTCCTTCCAGAAAATTCAGGGTTTCTCCAAAATGCCAGGTCATGGTTGTTGAATGCTCACATCTCTGTCCTCTTAAGCACCTACACTGCATTCTTAGACTATGTCTATCCTAGGAAATTAAGTAGTGACAGCAAACGGTCCTGAGCTCTGGCACTTGGCCTACTGTATTGCTAAATTTTTAACATTCTCCCTGGCACCTTTCTGGTCCAGGCAAACCACTGCTTTCCCAACCAGTTCCTGGGCACAGTTCAGGAAGGCCAGGTCCAGAGCCAGCCACCCTGTTCTGGAAAAGAAGAGAATCTAGCAGTATGAGCATGGCTGGATTGTGCTATTTGACCCCAGGGACAGAATAGGGCCCCTGGCACTGTTTAGTTTACAAATAACGCAGCCTTGGTGTCACACAAAACATAGCTGTGAAAATCATCCTTCCTGCGTATCATCCGCATCAAACAACAGTCTTCTCTGACTCCCTCTGCTGAATGCCATTCAGCAATATAAAATTAAACCGCTTACCCTTATCTTCAAATCTTTTCACAGTCCTCTTTCATATCCATCAGCCTTTTTCAAGTTGTCACTCACACAGCACATTCAATAAAATTAGCGTAATCTGACTGTTTGTTGTCTTCTCCTATGAACATCTCTCTCCTTTCTTCCCCCTTGACCCTACAGATTGGCCAGGGTGTTGATAGCCCTTAAAAACCCATTTACCCTGTGAAGTCTTGCCCTGTGTCACTGACTAACAATGGCACAGAAGACAGGATGGGCTCATCAGTGTGTATTTCTTTCCCAGGGTAGTCAGCTCCCAGTGCTGGAAGATAGGGATGGAGAGCAGAATAAACCTCCCCACAATCCAGGAGGAAGCAGTTAATGACCTGCTATGCCACCTGGACACTTACAAGTCTATGGGGACAGATGGGATCCATCCAAGAGTGCTGAAGGAACTGGCAGAGGAGCTGGCCAAGGCACTTTCCATCATCTATCAGCAGTCCTGGCTAACAGGGGAGGTCCCAGATGACTGGAGGATCGCCA